ATTACAGAAATTCAAATTAAAACCACAGTGAGATACTGTCTCATGCCAGTTAGAATGGTAATTATTAAAAAGCCTAGAAACAACAGATACTGGCAAGAATGGGGTGTAATAGGCACCTCTAAACTGTTGCTGAGAATGTAAATTAGTTCAACCATTGTGGAAGACAGTGTGGCAATTCCTCAAGGACCTGGAACCAGAAATACCATTTGATCCAGCAATCCTATTACTGAGAATATTCCAAAAAAAATTATAAATTATTCTATGATAAAGACACAAAAACACATATGTTTATTGCAGCACTATTTACAAGAGCAAAGACTTGGAATCAGTCCAAATGCCCATCAATGATAGACTGGATAAAGAAAATGTGGCAGTTATACACCATGGAATACTATGCAGCTATAACACCATGGAATACAATGCAGCCATAAAAAGACTGTCTTTTTCAGGGACATAGAAGAAGCTGGAAGCTATCCTTCTCAGCAAACTAACACAGGAACAGGAAATCAAACATCACATCTTCTCACTCATAAGTGGGAGTTGAACAATAAGAAAACATGGACAAGGGACGTAAACATCACACACACACCAGGGCCTGTCAGGAGGTGGGGGCCAAGGAGATTAGGAATAATACTTAATGAATGTGGGGTTTAAAACCTCGATGATGGGTTGATAGGTGCAGCAAACCACCGTGGCACATGTATACCTATGTAACAAACCTACATATTGTGCACATGTATCTCAGAACTTAAAGTAAAATTTAAAAGAAAAGATATTCCCAGATAAATAAAATCTGAAGTGGTTAATTACTACTAGACCTGCTCTGTAAGAAATACTAAAGCATTATTTCAGGTTGAACTGAAAATACACAAGACAGCAACTCAATGCCATACAATAAAATAGAGATCACCATAAAGGTAAACACATGGGCAAGTGTAAAAGCTGGTAGTCTGATTAAAAAAAAAAAAAAAAAAAAAAAAACAGTTATTAATTCTTCTTTTGTTTTCTACATGATTTCAGAAATTAATGTATCCTTTTTTAAATAAATTATCAATCAACAAGCTGGTATCATTGGAACTTTTATTTGTAACTCCACGTTTTGTGTTCTATATAATTTAAAAGAATAATGCATTTTTAAAGTATTAGTTTATGTTTTTGGAAATATACAATGTATGAAGATGTAATTTTGTGACATCAACAACTGAAGAAAGTGGGGATGGAGATATGAAAGAAGTAGAGTTTTTTCATTCAAATTAGAGTGTTAAAATGTTAACAGGTTAAATATAATTCCCATAGTAACTATCAATAAAATAGCTAAGGAATATACACTAAAGGAAATTAGAAAGAAATATAAACATTTCACTGCAAAAAAAAATAACTAAACACAAAAGACGGCAATAATGCAGGAAAAACAGAGATTAAAAGGCTATAAAGCATATAGAAAACAAGTAGCAAAATGACATGTCGATCCCTTATTATGAATAATTACTTTAAACATAAATGGATTAAACTCTTTAATTAAAAGACAGAGATTGACAAAATGAAATTTTAAAACCAAAATTTACCTATATATCACCTAAAAAAGATTCACTTTTAATCCAAAGACACAAATAGGATAAAAGTGAAAGGATTAAAAGCCATACATATACCATGCAAATAGTAACCAAAAGAGAGCAGGGAGGGTTATACCAATTTCAGACCAAATAGCCTTTAAATTAGAAAAGATTACAAGAGACAAAGGAGGACATTGAATATTAATAAAAGATTCAAATACAGCAAGAATGTATAGCAATTATAAACATTTATGAACCTCATAATAGACGATCAAAATGTGCAAAGTTAAAAGCAGCAGAGGTGAAAGGAAAAAGAGACAGTTCTACAATAATACTTTGATGTTTTATACCCTATCCTGAATAATGGGTAAGAACAGCCAGACAGAAGTAAGGAAACAGAGTCATTGAACAATTCAATAAACAAACTAGATAACATACACATACAGAACACTCTACATAACAGCAATAGAATACATTTACATGGGAGATTTTCCATGATAGACCATGTTATACCAAAATTAAGTCTCAATAGATTTTAAAAGACAGCTATTACACAAAGTATCTTCTCTGATCGCAATGAGATAAAGGCAGAAATCACTCTAAAATTGATATGCTTTGGCTTTGCCCCTACCCAAATTTCATCTTGAATTGTAGCTCCTATAAACCCCACATGTCATGGGAGGATCCTGGTGGGAGGTAATTGAATCATGGGGGTCGGATTGCCCCATGCTGTTCTTGTGATAATGAATAAGTCTTGTGAAACACAATGGTTTTAAAAAGGGCAATTTCCCTGCACATGATCTCTTGTCTGCCACCATGTAAGATATTCATTTGCTCCTCCTTTGTTTTTCATAATGATTGTGAAACCTCCCCAGCCATGTGGAACTGTGAGTCCATTAAACCCCTTTTTCTTTATAAATTACCCAGTCTCAGGTATGTCTTTATTAGCAGCTTGAGAACAGACTACTACAGAAGTAAAACTATAAAATTCACAAATTTGTGGAAATTAAGCAACATACCCTTAAACAACAAATAGATCAAGTAAAAAATCACAAAAGAAATCATAAAATACTTAGAAATAAATGAAAATACAGAAAACAGCCAGGTGCAGTGACTCATGCCTGTAATCTCAGCACTTTGGGAGACTAAGGCAGATGTATTGCTTGAGCCCAGGATTTCAAGATCAGATCAGCCTGGGCAACATGAAAAAAATCCCTTTTCTACAAAAAAATACAAAAATTACTTGGGTGTGGTGGAACATGCCAATAGTCCCAGCTAGTTGAAAGGCTGAGGGAGGAGGATTACCTAAGCCCAGGGAGGTTGAGGCAGCAGTGAGCAGTGATTGCACCACTGTCCTCCAGTTCAGATAACAGAGTGAGACCCTGTCTCAAAAGAAAAAAGAAAGAAAATTAAAAATATACCAAAACTTTTGGAACACAGCAAAATCAGTGCTAAAAGAGGAATTTATGACTATAAAGGCTTACATTAAAAAAACAAGAAAGATCTGAAATCAATAACCTAACTTTACAATCTAAGAGACTAGAAAAAGAAGAAACAAATTGGATAATCTAAATGAAATGAACAAGTACCTGGAAACAAAACCCACCAACTAAACAATGAAGAAATAGAAAAATCTGAATAGCTCTATGAATAGTAAGAAAATTGAATCAGTAATCAAAAACCTCTTAACAAAGAAAGATCATAAACCTAACGACTTCACTGGCAAATTATAGCAGACATTAAAGAATTGATGCCAATATTTCCCAAGCTTTTTCAAAAAAAAAACTGAAGAGAAGCAAATACTTTTCTTTTTAAGAGGCAGGCATTAATCTAACACCAAAGCCACAAAGACACTATAAGAAAACTACAGATATCCCATATAAACATTGATGCAAAAATCCTCAACAAAATGCTAGCAAACCAAATTGAGCATATTAAAAGAATTATACCCATAATCTAGCAAATTTTATTTCTTGAATGAAAGGATGGTTCAGCATATGAAAACTGATCAGTGTTATTCACATTAGTAAAATGAAAGGAAAAAAAAGCCACATAATCTCAAAGCAGAAAAATCACAAAATTTAACACTATTTTTAAGATGTAAACACTTAACAAGCCAGGAATATAAGAAAGCTATCTAAACATAGTAAAATATAATAAAAGCCTATATTAAAAACATACAGCAAATGTATCACTCAATGCTAAAAGGCTCAAAGTTTTTCCCCTAAGATCATGCAAAGCAAGGATGTCTGCTTTCATCACCTCTATTCTACATAGCAATTGAAGTCCTAGCCAGAGCAAGTGAGCAAGAGAAATAAAACTCATCTAAATCAGAAATGAAATAAAATTATCTCTATTCATGGATGATAGGATCTTATATGTAGAAAGACTTAAAGATTCAACAAAACAATTTTTAGAGCTAATTAAATTAATTCAGCAAAGTAGTAGAATATAGAGATAACAATCTGAAAAGGAAATTTAAAAAATAATTCTATTTCCATAGCATCAAAAAGAATAAAGCACTTCAAAATTACTTAACCAAGAAAGTCAAGGACTGTAAGATATTTTCAAAGAAATTAAAGGAAACATAAATAAATGGAACCACATCCTATGTTCATGAATTGGAAGACTAAATATTGCTAAGGTGTCATTACTATCCATAGCAATCTACAAATTTAATGGAATTTCTATCAAAATACCAGTGATTTTTTGGCAGAAATAGAAAAACCCATTCTAAAATTTATGAGGGATTTCAAGGGGCTCTGAATAACCTAAACAACCATATAAAAGAAAACAGCCAGAGGGCTAACCTGACTTCAAAACTTATCACAAATCTACCATAATTAAAAGAGTGTATGCCTACAAATGGGTCAGTTAAAAAAAAAAAAGCAAACACTGTAATACTGGCATAAAGATAGATATGTAGGCCAATGAAACAGAAGCAGGAACCCAGAAATAAACTCTTATATTTATGGTCAAATAATTTTCACAAGGGTGCCAACACCATTCAAGTGAGAAACAACACTCCTCAACAAATGCTGCTTAGAAAACTGGATATCCACTTGCAAAAGAATGAAGTTTCACCTTTACCTAATACCACAAACAAAAATTAACTCAAAAGTGATCAAAGACTGAAATGTAACACCTAAAACTATAAAAACTCTTTTAAAAATACGTAGAACAAAAGCTTCCAGGAATTGAATTTAGAACAATTTCTTAGATAAGACACCAAAAGCACAGAAAACTAAAGAAAAAAATAAGCAAAATTCATGATTTTTTTTCCATTTTAGGACTACATTTTAGTAGAATATGAATCTAAACTCCTACATTTAGGACAAGCAAAGCCTTAAAAGTACTGACTGATTCAAAATGCTTTTACAGAAAAATTAATTTGTAACAAAAACTGTACTGGATGCAAAGGACCCACAGGTATTTTTTTGTGTTTGGGGTTTTTTATTGTTGTTGTTTTTGTTTTTTGTTTTGTTTTATTTTGTTTTACTTTGCTTGCTTTTTAACAAAAGTTCCAAGTGACAAGATCAAGAATAAGGGACTCACATATTGACAACAGCAGACATTTTCTGTTCCTCTTCCTCAAGGGAGTTCAGGAGAAAACTGCTTGCATAGCTTCATCAAACACTATCTTGAGGCCTGGCTGAGCACTCCTGGTATTTTACAGCACCTAAATCCTGTGATTAGGTGATAGGAGTCTGCTGCTTCTCCTTCAGTATTTCAATCGTGTCTTTCTCTCCCGAAAATCAAGTTTGGTTCCCACAACGATTATGATGGGAGTGTTGTGATAATGGTGCCACACTGCAGGACACCACTTGGCATGAACATTTTCTAATGATGCAGGACTCACAAAGGAAATGCAAATTAAGAATACATCTGTTTGAGGATAGAAATGGGGGCGAGGGTCATAATCTGTCCACCTGTGTAATTGTCTTGTTTACCTGTATCTCATAAACCTGGCTTCACAGCTTTCCCACTTACCATAACACTGGCATAGTGATTGTCAAAGACAACAGGGATATATTCTCCAAGTTGTAAAGCTAATCATTGATGAGTTGGCAAGTTTTGCCTACAGCTCCATCTCCCACCACCACACAGTTGATGTCCTATATCTCTGGCTGGGCTGGCAGTGGCAGAAATAGTGGGCTCAGGGTGCTGTGGCAGGGCACAGATGCAGGCTACCAGCATTCGATGCCTGGCTGCTGTTGGCAACACCTTGCCCTCCTGTAAGTGGAAGGAAAAGCCCATCAGCTTCCATAAGCCAAAGCTGAGGGAAACTGCCCATGAACAATTTAAAATGTCTTTAAATCAAAAGACTATACTAACAAAGTAAAAGGGCAACCCACACAATGAGATGAAATATTTGCAACTTGTGTATCTAATATGGAATTAATATCCAGAATATATACAGAACTCCTAAACCTCAACAACAATAAAAGAAAACAAATAACCTTATTCAAAAATGGACAAAGGATTTGCATGGGCATTTCTCCAAAGAAGACATACAAATAGTTAAGATGTTCAACATTATTAATCATTAGGGAAATATGAGTCAAAACTGCAAGATACTACTTCACTTCCATTAGGGTTGTTAATATTAAAAAAAGAAAGAAAGAAAAAGAAAATAGCAAATGTTAGAGATAAAGTAGAATAATTGAAACCCTTGTGCACTGCTGCTCAGAAAGCAAAATAGTACAGCCACTGCGGAAAATATTATGGCAGTCACTTTGAAAAATAAAAAAGAGTTACCATGTAATCCAGTGATTCCATTTCTAGGTGTATACTAAAAAAATGAAAGTAGGGACTCTGAGAGATATTTGCACGCTCATGTTCATAGCAGTATTATTCTCAATAACTAAAACATAGAAATAACCCAAGTGTCTATTGATGAATAAATGGATAAGCAAAACGTGGTACAAGCATACAAGGGAATATTATTCAGTCTCAAGGAAGTAAATTCTAATACATGCTACAACTTGGATGCACCTTGAAGACATTATGCTAAGTGAATTAAGCCAGTTACAAATAGACAAATACTTTATGATTCCTCTTATAGGAGGGGCCTAGAGTAATCAGTTCATAACTACAGAAAAAAAAAAAAAAGGGGAGTTGCCATGACCTGGGAAAAGGGTAAATGGGGAGCTATTGTTTAATTAATGTATTGTTTCAGCTTTGTAAGATGAAAAACATTCTGGAAATGGATCACGGCGATGAAGATTGTACAAAAATATGAATGTAAACTGAAATGTACACTTACAATAATTAACATAATACATACTGTGTAATATGTATTTTAACCCCAATAAAAACTTAGAGAAAGAGGTGGCTGGCAAAATGGCCAAATAGAACTAGCTCCAGTCTGCAGCTCCCAGCAAGATCAACACAGAAGGTGGGTGATTTCTGCATTTACAACAGAGGTACCTGGCTCATCTCACTGGGCATGGTTAAACAGTGGGTGCATCCCACAGAGGGTGAGTAGAAGGAAGGTGGGGCATCTCTTCATTCACGAAGCACAAGGGATCAGGGAACTCCCTCCCCTAGCCAAGGGAAGCCATGAGGGACTGTACTGTGAAGAATGATGCCCTCCAGCCTAGATGCTACATGTTTTCCAGGGCCTTTGCAACCCACCCACCAGGAGAATCCCTTGAATGCCTATGTCACCAGGGCCTAGGGTCTGAAACACAAAACTGGGAGGCTGCTTGAGCAGACACCAAGCTAGCTGCAGGAGTTTTTTTCATACCTCAGTAGCGCATGGAATGCCAGTGACACAGAACCATTCAAACTCCCATTTCTCTGGGACAGAGCATGTGGGGGAAGGGGCGGCTGTGGATACAGCTTCAACAGACATAAATGTTTCTGCCTGCAAGCTCTGAGGAAAGCAACAGATCTCCCACCACAGCACTCAAGCTCTGCTATGGGACAGACTGCCTCTCAAGTGGGTCTGTGACCCACATGCCTCCTGACTGGGAGACACCTCCTAGCAGGGGTTGACAGCAACCTCAGACAGGGGAGCTTCCACTGGCATCTGACAGGTGCCCTTCTGAGAAGAAGCTTCCAGAAGAATGAACAGGTGGTAATCTTTGCACTTCTGCAGCCTCTACTGGTGACACCCAGGCAAACAGGGTCTGGAGTAGTTGTCCAACAAACTCCCGCAGACCTGCAGCAGAGGAGTCTGACTGTTAAAAGGAAAACTAACAAACAGAAAAAAATAACATCAACATCAACCGAAAGGATGTCTACATAGAAACCCCATCCGAAGGTCACCAACATTGAAGACCAAAGATAGATAAATCCAAGAGATAAGGGGAAAAAAAAACAGTGCAAAATGGTTGTAAATGCCAAAAACCAGAACACCTTTTCTCCTCCAAAGGATCAGACTCCTCACCAGCAATAAAACACAAACTGGATGGAGAATGAGTTTAACAAATTGACAGAGTAGACTTCAGAAGGTGGGTAATAACAAACTCCTCTGAGCTAAAGGAGCATGTTCTAACCCAATTCAAAGAAGCTAAGAACGTTGTAAAAAGGTTAGAGGAATTGTTAACTAGAATAACCAGTTTAGAGAAGAATATAAACCACCTGATGGAGCTGAAAAAATAGCACAAGAACTTTGTGAAGCAAATACAAGTATCAATAGCTGAATGAAGCAGAAGAAAAAGAACCACAGATTAAACATCAACTTAATGAAATAAAAAATGAAGACAAGATTAGAGAAAAAGAATGAAAAGAAATGAACAAAGCCTTCAAGAAATGTGGAACTATGTGAAAAGACCAAACCTACATTTGATTGGTATACCTGAAAGTGACAGGGAGAATGGAACCACTTTGGAAAACACTCTTGAGGTTATTAACCAGGAGAAATTCCCCAACCTAGCAAGAGCATGACATCATTCAAATTCAGAAAATACAGAGAACACTACAAACATATTCCTCAAGAAGAGAAACCCGAAGACACATAATCATCAGATTTGTCAAGGTTGAAATGAGGGAAAAAATGTTAAGGGCAGCCAGAGAGAAAGGTCAGGTTATCCACAAAAGAAAGCCCATCAGACTAACAGTGGATCTCTCTGCAGAAACCCTACAAGCCAGAGGAGAGTGGGGGCCAATATTCAACATTCTTAAAGAAAAGAATTTTTAGCCCAGAAGTTCATATCCAGTCAAACTAAACTTCATAAGTGAAGGAGAAACAAAATCCTTTATAGACAAGCAAATGCTAAGAGATTTTATCACCACAGGGCCTGCTTACAAGAGCTCCTGAAGGAAACAATAAATATGGAAAGGAAAAACTGGTACCAGGCAATGCCAAAACATACCAAATTGTAGAACAAATGCTGAGAGATTTTGTCACCACCAGGCCCGCTTATAACAGCTCCTGAAGGAAGCAATAAACATGGAAAGGAAAAACCAGCATTCAGAACTACCATTTGGAGTCAAATAATAGTTCTGCTTTTAGCTCTTTTAGAAATCACCATACTGCTTTCCACAGTGGCTGAACTAATTTACACTCCCACCAACAGTATATAAGAATTCCCTTTTCCCTGCAAACTTGCCAGCATCTGTTATTTTTTGACTTTTTATAATACCAATTTCTACTGGTGTAAGGTGGTATATCTCTTTGTGGTTTTGATTTGCATCAGAGTCCCTATTACATAAAGATAGAAAATAGCAGACATTGACAAGGACGCAGAGCAAACAAAACTCTTGTACATTGCTGGTTGAAGTGTGGATTAGTACAATCTCTATAGAAATATGTGGATTAGTACAATCCCTTTAGAAATATGTAGATTAGGCCGGGTGCGGTGGCTCACGCCTGTAATCCCAGCACTTTGGGAGGCCGAGGCGGGTGGATCACCTGAGGTCAGGAGTTCGAGACCAGTCTGACCAATATGGTAACACCCCATCTAAATTAAATAAATAAATAAATAATAAAAAATAAAAAAAGAGGTTGTCTTATAAAAAAAAAAAGAAATATGTAGATTAGTATAATCTCTATGGAAAATAGTATGAATATTTCTAAAGAACAGAGGCCTCAGGGGCAATACCACACATTTACAATCATCTGATCATTGACAACCCGACAAAAACAAGCAATGGGGAAAAGATTCCCTGTTTAATAAATGTTTTTGGGAAAACTGGCTAGCCATGCACAGAAAACAGAAACTGAACCCCTTCCTGACACCTTACACTAAAATTAAACCAGAGGGATTAAAGACTTAAACATGACTTAACACCACGAAAACCCTAGAAGAAAACCTAGGTAAAACCATTCAGGACATAGACATAGGCAAGGACTTCATGAATAAAACACCAAAAGCATTGGCAACAAAAGCCAAAATAGACAAATCAGATCTAATTAATCTCCAGAGCTTCTGCAGAGCAAAAGAAACTACCATTAGAGTGAACTGGCAACCAACAGAATGGGAAAAATTTTTTGCAATCTACCCATCTGACAAAGGACTAATATCCAGAATTTACAAAGAACTAAAACAGATTTAGAAGAAAAAAACAAACAAACCCATTCAAAAGTGGGCAAAGGATATGAACAGAAACTGGACCCCTTCAAAAGAAGACATATATGAGGCCACTTTTCAAAGGAAGACATATATGAGGCCAACAAACATATGAAAAACTACTCATCATCACTTGTCATTAGAGAAATGCAAATCAAAAATCACATTGAGATACCATCTCACGCCAGTCAGAGTGGCAATCATTAAAAAATCTGGAGACAACAGATGCTGGAGAGGATGTAAAGAAATAGGAACACTGTTAACACTGTTGCTGGGAGTGTAAAGTAGTTCAACCATTGCGGAAGACTGTGTGGTAATTCCTCAAAGACTTAGAAATAGAAATTCCATTTGACCCAGAAATCCCATTACTGGGTATATATCCAAAGGACTGTAAATCTTTCTATTATAAGACATGCGTGCATGTATGTTCATTGCAGCACTATTTACAATAGCAAAGACTTGGAACCAACCCAAATGCCCATTGATGATAGACTGGACAGGGAAAATGTGGCACATATACACCATGGAATACTATGCAGCCATAAAATACGATGAGTTTGTGTCCTTTGTAGGGACATGGATGAACCTGGAAACTATCATTCTCAGCAAACTGACACAAGAACAGAAAATCAAACACCACACGTTCTCATTCATAGGAGGGTGTTGAACAATGAGAACACATGGATACAGAGTGGGGAGCCTCACACACTGGGGTCTGTGGGTGAGGGGGACTAGGGGAGGTACAGGGGTGGGTAGGGAGTTGTGGAGGGATAACATGGGGAGAAATGCCAGATATAGGTGATAGGGGATGGAGGCAGCAAACCACATTGCTATGTATGTACCTATGCAACAATCCTGCATGTTCTTCACATGTACCCCAGAACCTAAAATGCAATAAAATACATTTTTTTTTTTAAAAAAAAAAGATGTTCACACTATTTTCAAATCTTTTCCTCCCTCTATGTAACTACAGACTACCAGAACCAAGGAACAGCAGGAGACTCATAGAAGAACAAAAAGATTTGCAAATAATGATGAGAACAGTAATACTCACAGCAAATAGTGGCTTTTAAAAAACAGAAAGGAGGATGGGGCACAGTGGCTCCTAACTCTAATCCCAGCACTTTAGGAGGCCGAGGCGGGCAGATCACTTGAAGTCAGGAGCTCGAGACCAGCCTGGCTAACATGAGAAAATCCCGTCTCTACTAAAATAGAAAATTAGCTAGAACAGTGGTACATGCCTGTAATTCCAGCTACGTGGGAGACTGAGGCAGAGAATCACTTGAATCTAGAAGGTGGAGGCTGCAGGGGTTCAAGATCACACTACTGCACTCCAGCCTGGGAGACAGAGTGAAACTCCATCTCAGAATAAGAGAGAGAGAGAGAGAGAGAGAGAAGGGGGAGGGGGATAGGGTCTCATTATGTTGCCCAACCTGGACTCAAACGCCTGGGCTCAAGCAATCCTCCCTCCTCAGCACCCCAAGTAACCGGGAATATTGGCAGAAACCACTCCATGAGTATATAGCAGATTTCTTGATTACCCAAATGCTAGGCACTTATTTACACTATTTACTGGTTTACATATAAGTAATTTCAAATGTATTTGTATGTGTGTATACAGATGTATAGATACACACCACACATTATCTCAATAATGTTGGTGTGGCTCACATAATGGGTGAAGATTTTTAAAACAAAAAATACTGTTTGTGGAGCAAGGAATTCTGTTTTAAGATATCAGCATCAAGATTTGAGCTGTGCCAGTCTCACCCAATCACACAGACTAATTCTTTGAAATAGATATTTTATACATCTCATATATCTCTCATTGGCTCTGTTTCACTGGAGAACCCTGATAGACACAGGAGAAATCTGGAAATGGACTACTCACAGGAGCAGCAGAAGAAGGAAGAGAAACACAACAATCCCTAAGCTGAATGTGCTTCTGGGAGGCTGTGATGTGCAAAAACTTTAGGAGAACCAGGTCTAGGACCCAGAAAGGGCAAACTATCTATCTGACAACAAATTAATAACCAGAATACATAAGAAGCCCAAATAACTTTAGAGGAAAAATTTTAATCTGATTTTGAAAATGGACAAAATATCTGAATCTCCAAAGAGGGCATATAAATGGCAAACAGGTTTATGAAAAGCTGCTCTACATCCAGCCCAAGTTCCCAGCAGGAGCAGAAGAGGACCCAGTTTCCCAGGAACCCTAGAGAAGGGATGAAGTAGGCAGTTCTGGCATCTTCTCAGCACGGTGATATCATCCTGGTTTTTCAGGGACTGAACCCTTTCTGGAATTCTCCGGAGGATTCTGAATGCTTCAGTCCTGATGGCTGGAGAGCAACACTGAAGAGACCTTGTGGAGGAGACAAAAAGACAGAAAGCAACACACTGTGAGTCTCCACTCCAAGCCAGCCCATTCTTACTCTGGCCTATGCTTTCCCCATGCTTTCAACTTGGACAGCTTCTGTTTCACCTTTAAGATCTGACTCAACAGCTGGACACGATGGCTCACTCCTGTAATCCCAGCACTTTGGGAGGCTAGGGAGGGCAGATCATGAGATCTGAAGTTCGAGACCAGCCTAACCAACAAACCAACATGGCAAAACCCCGTCTCTACTAAAAATACAAAAAAAAAAAAAACCTTACCTCGGCATGATGGCATGCATGCCTGTATTCCCAGATACTCAGGAGGCTGAGGCAGGAGAATCACTTGAACCTGGAGACAGAGATTGCAGTGAGCCAAGACTGTGGCACTGCACTCCGCCTGGGCAACAGAGCAAGATTCCGTCTCAAAAAAAGTATGACTCAAGAAGTGCCTCTCCAGCTTTTCGAACTTTATTTACTAATCCAGGGCAACCAGCACAGACGGTGATGATGGCCAGGTCCTGTGCACATAAACTGTTGGCTGCGTGCTGCATAGGAAGTACCTGTGAGCATGAGACAGACACATCAAAAGACATTCCAGTGGGGACAACCAGCAGGAGCCCACTGGACCCT